CTGACCAGCTCTAGGATAGTCCCGGCTTGGCGCATTCTGGGAGGGAAATGGAGTTAGAGCTGAGCAGGGAAGGCAGGGATGGAGACATGGTGCTTTCAAGGGGCCGTGCTCAGCCCTTGGCTAACCAGGGATCGGGTTCGGGGGTCAACTGGTGTAAATCAGCCTCATTGTTGTCAATATAACCGCAGTGATTCACACCAGCAGTGGATCCCGCCCGCTGCTTGTTGGCGTGTGAGCGTGAAGGACGCGTGTGTATGTGAGTGTGCGCTGGGCTTGGGTGGGTCACGGCGGGGTGCGTACCGGAGCGGGCTTTGATTTTTTATTTTTTTTTTGGCTGGAGGGTTGTTTGGTGGGCTGGTGTCCTGGGTGACTGGGGGTGTGAGGGATGCAGTGTGCACACACCACTGTGCATTTTAGTGCATGCACGGCTGGGCGTACGGACCTGGGGTGCGCACGAGTGGCCTGGGGCGTGAGTTTGTTTGCACTGGTTTTGTGGGTGTGTGTGCAGGAGGGCTGCGTGTGTGCGAAGGGCTAGGCGAGTGTGTGCAGGGCGAGTGTACCCGAGCGGCTGGGTGACCAGGTGTGTGAATCGTGTCTCCTCATGTGTGTGTGTGACTGGACCTGTGAGGGAATGTCTAGAGCATGTGCCTGTTCGCACAGGGGTGCGTGTGTGTGTGACCCTAGCAAACAGGCACCAGCCCTAGAACCCAGCATTTATCCGCTGTGTCACTGCCCCCCGCCCCGTCACCCCCCAGTCCCGACACGCTCCCCTTACCATGTCCACTGCCCTGGGGTCCAGCTGGCTGGGGGGCGCCGGGACGGAGAACTGGATCTTCTTGCGGTCCTTGGGGTCCATCGCACCGTCGCTCTCTCCCGCTTCCCAGCGGAGTCTCCAAGTCCACGTCTCGCTCTCCCCCTGAACTGAGCGCAGGGAGAACCGTGCTGTGGGGGCCCCCCCCTTCTTCCAGCCCAGCAGGGTCTCTCCCTCTGCTCCTCAGCGAGTGAGCCTGCGCCCCGTCCCCCAGCAGAGTTAGACAGCTCCTGAGCCCAGCTCCATCCCCGCTGCACAGTGAGTGGTGGAGACAGGAGGGGAGAGGCAGAGAGAGAGAAGAGGAGGAGGGAGGGAGGGAGGGAAGAGCCGAGTTACTACTGGCTCTCTGGAGTCAGCCTGAATTATTAATCTCCCTGGGCAGGGGGGCAGAGGGCTATCTTAATGAGCCCTCGCAGGGAGCCAACTGGCAGGGGGGGGTTCAAACAGAGCCACCCACGTCCAGTTTTTACCCTTTCACCGCCCGGCTGCGGAGATGCTCCCCAGAAGCAAATGGTTTCTGATGGGCAGCGTTGCCCAGTGGGGCAACCAGGCACTGGATGTGGTCCAGTAGCTAAAGCATTAGGCTGGGAGTCAGAAGACCTGAGTTTTATTCCGGTTCTGCGCTGAGTTTAGGCAAGGCATTTAGCTGCCCTATGCCTCAGTTTCCCCAGCTGGACAGCAGAGGCAGTGATTAGAGCTGGTTGGTACTTGTTCAGTGAATAGTTTTGGCATCAGAAAAAATGCCAGTTAGCGAGACAGGGTCGGGTGCAATGAATTTCCCAGCTTGAGGACAAACAAAGCAACCAAACGTTCAGGGTTTCAGAATGCTGACATTTTCAAAGGAAAAATTCCGTTTTCCTGGCACAAAACAACGTTTCAGTCCCAACTCGAAGCTCATTTCACTGAAAAGACGTTTCAAGAAGAAAGGCTGAAATCTAAACCAAGCGCTTCGACCTGAGCCGAGTGAAAGTTTTTGATTGACCTGAAACAAGGGGAAAAATCAAATTGTTTTTTCGGTTTGCGAATTCTTTCGAGGTTTCAACATTTCAGCCCGATTTGAGACGGGAAAAGAATGTCAAACTCTCAGACTCATTCACCGCTGCCCCCCCGAGCCCTCCACTTGGTGCTGTTGTAATTTGCTATGGGGATGTGTATGTGTAGCTAAGGCTGCTTTGGTTGTGCGTGTGTATGGCGTAGGCTCTTTTCATGTGTGCGCATTGGTTTTGTGTACGCATCAGTGTGTGTGTGTGCGCGCACGTGTGCATTGGCTGAACGTGTTGGCATGGGGAGTTATGTTGTGTGCAGGCGTGCGTGTGCGCACTCTGTTTGAATGTGTTCACATGAAAGCATGCATTTTTTGCTCTGCCTGCAGGTGTGTGTGTGTCAGTTTTGTTTGTGGAGTAACACACCCCTCATTCAAACACTCTCCCCCCAGCAAGAGCCTGCTAATTTGGAAGCTGCTACATTTCAAAGGGCAAGGTTGTAGATACAACACTGTGCCGGGGCAGAGGAGAGCTGGCTCTGCCACTGACGCTCTGTGTGACCTTATCAAAGTCACTTATATCTCCATGAGCCTCAATTCCCTATCTGCAAAATAGGGATAACGCCTACCTCACAAGGATATTGGGAGGGGGAAAAAATCCATGAATGAGTATGAAGATCAGCTAAATATCTAGTAGGGCTGGTTTTCAGAACAAAAGGTCAAAAGACTAGAACTTATTTTGGAACGAAATGGTCTAAAAAAACCTCGACACAGAAATGTCGACATGTTTCGGTTTCCCCATGATGCACGGTGGCCACGCAGAGGCAAGACCACAGTGCATCCTGGGAGATGAAGTCTAGGTAGGGAGCATGACCTACGGGGAGAATGGATGCATGAGGGATCTGCAACTACAACTCCCATGAGACACTGCAGTGGGCAGCTGCAAAGATTAATGGAGACCCGATCCCAAACTAACCATTTTGTGTTGATTTTGCCGCAGAAAATTCTCCCGGAATTGATCTTGCCCCTCAGAAAAGACTAGATTTTTGGACAAACCCACCATTTGCTGATGGGAAAAATATTTCACTTGAAATTTTCCCACTGGCCCTAGAATGCTGATAGCTAGAATTCACTGGGATCATGTGGAACAGATGATACCAGTGAATTCTAGCTGCATGTGGAACAGATGCGGCTCCAACTTCCCCATTAAAACTTTGATTAAAACTTTCCATAGCTACACATCAAACCCACCCGGGGGACTTGGAGTTATTTAAGATCCTTTCATCTGAAGTCTTTAACATCGAAGCTGGATGTCTTTTCTAAAAGATTTGCTCTCATTCCGCTGTGGGCTCGTTAGTGTCACTTACATGGCAGGGGAGAATAATTCTCCTCGTCACAGGATTCGCTGAGTGGGAATCTCTGGCTGGTGTTATGCAGGAGGGCAGACTAGATGGTCACAGTGGTCTCTTCTGGCCTTAAAAAAAACCCCAAAAAACCTACAAATCTCTAGACACACACTGTACATTATTTGCATTGCATTAGCAACTCGCAGCCCCAGTCACGGACCAGGAGCCCATTGTGCCAGGGGCTGTACAAACACAGAACAAAAAGACTATCTTTGCCCCCAAAGTGCTTCCAAGCTGTACCTAAAGCCATTGGCTCAGTCTTCATTAGCTCTCAACGTTGCTTTGCAAGTGGCATCTTTGCTCTCTCCAGAATGCCGGGCTTAAAACCTAGGGGCCCCCAGCCGGTGTAAATCAGCGTGACTCCGTTGAGTTTGTGGATTGCCACCAGCTGAGGGTCTGACCCAACAGGCCTAGGACCATGCATTAGCTGCAAGGACCAGGCCATTCGCGCTGTTGCATGGTACAGCTGAGAATGGGACGGCTCTGGCTCCAGGGGATGCAGGAGGGAAGGGCAGGGCCTTGGATGCTAACCTGTGATTTCAGGAGCTGCCAATTGCAGAGGGGAAGCGGGGAGCGTGCGTGCAGCCAGCCAGTTCCACACACGGGGGCGTCTGGGCTGCGGACCTGACTGCCAGGATCAGCAACACCTAAGGGGACGTGCCCAGGTCATTCTGGAACACGTTGGCTCTGCCAGCCATTGCCCAAGCAAGCAGCTCACTCCCAGTCTCTATTCTAACCCATGCCCTGCCAGCTTCCCACTGTCCCGCTCGTTTAGCCTGCAGATCGAGGGCCCTTGGGGAGAGAAGGCAAACCCCAGAGCTGGTCGCACGCCAGAGGACAACCCCTCCCGCTTGGGAGGCGCTGCCTGTAGAGATCCACAAAGCTACATCCTCCTCCTTCAAACTGCCCCCAAATTTGACAGCAGCGAGGCTGCTGCTGAGCTGAGACGCCGCCTGCCACACTGACCGATGCTGTCGCATTGTTTCCTCGTACTCCCCCATGGGTCTGTTTGCCTCCATCAGGTGTCTCTTGCCTTGTACTTAGATTCTAAGCTCCTGGGGGCAACGACTGTCTTTCTTGTTCGGCGTTTGTACAGCACCTAGCACCCCATGGTCCTGGCCTGCCACTGCGGGCTACAGTAATGAAATAAGAAACAATGAGAGAACCAATTTCCTGATAATGCATCCAACCAGAACGGCACTGCCTGCGGAGTGTTCAGTCAACAGTGGAGCCCAGGGGGATCGAGCCCCAGCATTTTATTTTTCCAACAAAAAATGACTTTTTTGGAAAAAAAAAAAAGTGAAAATCTTATGTATATGCTTGTTTTCTTTGACATTTTTCAAGTTTTCATTGGCAAAAATGTAATTTTTCAATTTCTCGCTTGTCAAAAGTGGTCCATTTTGGGTTGTTGAAATATGGGGGGGGGAGAAATCATTTTTTTGGTTTTTCGACCAAAAGCTGAAAAATTAAGTGAAAAGAGTCACGATTTTTTATTCTGTTGGGAAATAAAATCCCTTTTCCAACCAGCTCTTGAGAACAAGACTCAGCAGCCACGCCTCTCTTCTAAAAACCAAGGTTTGGAACGTGAGCGCCTGATACTTGTTTTAATCTCTTGCTCTCGTATAATGCTTTTCAGCAGGTGATCTCAAAGCACGTCTCAGCCTTTATTGCATTTATCCTCACGACACGCCTCTGAGATAGGGCAGGTGGGAAACTGAGGCACAGAGGCTCCGTCAGCCAAGGTCACCCAGGAAGTTTGTGGTAGAGCAGACTCAAACCAGTCTTTGGCCAGGGCCCACACCACTGCACAATCCTGTCTCAAGCTCATTCAAATCGGAGCCCCATCTGTTCCAGGTGTTTTCAGCTTTGGCCTGGTCTTTGCTGGGACATGAGATGTATTTTTGCCACACGTTAGCAGCTAATTAACATGTGGCAGCGTTCTAGTGTGGATAAGGGATCTGGTTTTAACACATGTGAGCATGTCACCGGAGAAGCTTTTTGTCTCAACTAGAGTTTGTGGCCCTGTTGTAACTATACCCCCCCCCCCCACACACACACACCCTGCACCAGACCTTTCTGTTTTCTATAGAGGATCCGGGTGAACAGGGTTTGTGATTACTAGATGCCCTACCTGGGTAAATATTTTGCTGGAACTTGGCCACTTAAAGTGATTGGATCACTTCAAAATCCCAGCACCTGAGCCAGTCTAGTGGCCTGCAGTGATCTCAAAGGCTAAAACTCCCACTGACTGGAATGGGGAACAGAGTTAGGTCAACACGGGGGGCTTCAGAAAATACCACCAAGCGCCTGAAACTCGGTCCCAGGGCTCAGTTAAAGGACATGCAAATGAAAAGCAAAACGGAGCGTTGCTGGGTTTTGCATCTTGACAGTGGAGAAAGCCAGCCTGGAAAAGTTTTCCTCCCGAATAATTGTGGGGTCTTTCTTCAGTTTGGTTAACATAAATCTATCACCCCTGGCTAATGAACAGTTGGGAGAAAGATTGCCTTGGTTAAATGTTTAGCACCACTGCCCCTGCCATTAAGGTATGAAAGGCTCCCCGCACATGCTCAGAGAGCCCCCAGAAGGTGATCCGGAGGGAACCAGATTTGTCATTCTTAAGGTGGAAGCAGATCACTCGGTTTGGGCCCTCTCTACCC